TGCTGAACAATTTCGTAGCAAGTATCCGCGCGCAGTAGAGGGCATAACTAATAGGCATTATGTAGACGATTATGTAGACTCATTTCAATGTTACAAAGCAAATTAAGTTAATACACAGCGCAGCTAATTTTGAGCTTAGGCGTTTCGTGGGAAATTCAAAAGAAGTATTAACTGCGGTCGTCGATGAGCAGAAGTCTGTGCGAGAATCGGAAATTAAAAACATGTTTCACGGCGAATCAGCATCTGAGAAGATTTTGGGAATGTATTAGGATGCCAAAAATGATGAATTTCATTTTCAATTAAAGTTTGCGAATGCACCAAATGCAGTGTTAACTGGTAATCGACGACCAACAAAAGCCGAAGTTTAAAGTTTAATGATGTCGATATTTGATCCGTATGGTTTCTTGGGTAACGTAATTTTGGCTTCGAAGATTATGATGCAAGAACTATACCGCCACAATACTGGTTGGCATGAACCTATACCGGAGAAAATATTCGATAACTGGTACAAATGGTATAGCGTATTAAGCAAGGTGGAAGAGTTCAGAGCACCTAGGTGCTATCATCCAAATTTCACTGACTTCGACTCGCAAATCGAATTACACATTTTTGTAGATGCAAGCGAACTTGCGTTCGCTGCAGTTGCATATTGGCGAATACAATACAAAACCAGTGTTACGGTAGTATTTGCATACGGTAAGTCAAGATGCAGCCCAATCAAGCCGTTGTCGATACCAAGATTGAAATTGCAGTCCGCAGTCTTGGGAACGAGACTAAAAGAATCGATCGTCGCCAACCACGACACTCAGCCAAAAAATGTTGTGTTTTGGACAGACTCAAAAACAGTCATTCAATGGTTGCGCTCTGATGCAAGGCGTTACAAGCAATATGTATCAAACCGAATTTCTGAAATCTTACAGTCGACCAATCCTAATCAATGGAGGTGGGTGCCAGGTAAATTGAACCCAGCTGATGAAGGGACTAGGTTACATACGTTTTCTCCCAGTAGCAAATGGCTGAATGGCCCACCATTTCTGCGGTTGAGAGAGGATGAATGGCCGTTGATGCCGGACGGAGTGTTATCCAAAGAAGCGCAAGTGGAGATGCGCACAAAAGAATTGTACACTGTGCAAAACAATGAAAACGTTATTCCGTTCAACAAGTATTCAAACTACTACCGCTTCTTAAAAATAATGTGTAGGGTTAAGCTCGCAATTACGAAATTCCGTTCCTTTATTACTAAAGACAAATTACCCTTACCACGCCAAATAGATGCTAACTTAATGAAAAACACCGAAAATTTTATTTGTCGGATCGTTCAAGAGACGGAGTTTAAAGTTGAGATCGATCTTCTTAAAGAAAACATGCAGCTGAGTAAGTCGAGTACTTTGTGGAAGTTGACGCCTATTCTAGACGAGAATGGCATTCTACGCTTGGGTGGGCGTCTGGACAACGCTAGTTGTGTGCCGACATATATGAAGAGACCAATAATCCTCCCAAAAGAGCACGATTTGACAAGATTAATTATCCAGCACTATCATGAAAGTTTTCACCATCAAAACCCAGAAGCGATAGTATGCGCTATTCGTTTTAAATTTTGCATTCCGAACTTACGTCGTCTTGTACACTCGGCAAAAAAGAGATGCCAAGTTTGCAAAAATTTAAGCGCTGTTCCACAACCCCCACTAATGGGGCAGTTGCCAATTGGTAGGGTCACGCCATACGTCCGTCCATTTACGTATACGGGAATGGATTACTTTGGGCCAGTCTTGGTAGCGGTAGGACGACGTCGAGAGAAACGTTGGGTCGCCGTGTTCACGTGCTTGACGATAAGAGCGATTCATCTGGAATTGGCAAAGGATTTATCGACGGATGCGGTTATACTTTGTTTGCGGAACTTCGTGAATCGGCGAGGTGTCCCTGTGCGAATAAGGAGTGACAGCGGCACAAATTTTATTGGCGCGAGCAAAGAACAATGGTTGGATATTGAGCAGAACTTGCAGCAAGCATGCCGACGGCGAAGTATCGAATGGGTGTTTAATACGCCCTTACATCCATCAGCTGGTGGCGCTTGGGAGCGGATGGTCCAAGCGGTAAAGAAAGTACTGGCATTTACGTTAAAAGAGAAGGCACCTCAGGTAGAGACTTTGCGTAGCTTGTTGATTGAGGCAGAAAACTTAATTAATTCACGTCCGCTTACGCACGTGCCAGTCGAGAGCGTAGATGCTGACTCTTTAACTCCGAACCATTTCCTTTTGGGCTGTCCTAGTTTTGTGCAGACATCCGCAGTGCCAGAAGATGTGTGTCTAAAGAAGCAGTGGCACGTAGCACAACAATTGAAACAGACATTTTGGAAAAGATGGGTTTTAGAGTATCTGCCTACGTTGACCCGCAGAACAAAATGGTTCCGGAGAGTTGAACCGATTAAGATTGGCGATCTGGTAGTTATATGTGACGACAATGAGAGCCGCGGGCAATGGAAGCGTGGAATAGTGGAGGACGTTTTCGCGGCAGCAGATGGTCAAGTACGTTCAGCGCTGGTGAAGACAGCACACGGAATTTTTCGTCGACCGGCATCTAAGTTGGCAGTCCAGGCGACGATAAGAATTCCTAACATTGCACATGTTTTGCTGATT